GCGCACATGCGCGCGCGCTCTCTCTCTCTCTCTCTCTCTCTCTCTCTCAAAATAAACATTTTTTTAAAAAAAGATTCTGTCTCTCTTCCCCTCTGCCCCTCTCCCCCGCTTTCGCTAACTCTCTAAAACAACAACAACAACAAACATTAAAAAGAATGTCTGTATCTTTACCTATCTCGCCTTTTTGGCCTATGAAAGAGCCGAGGTTCTTACTTTTAAAATGTTAACTCATCTATTGAACACCTGTGTGCCTATACCTTATCTTCCCTACCAGATAACACATTCCTTGAGGGAAATCAATGTGTTGCATGTTCCCCACAGAACATTTTCAACTGTATTATCAATAAGTATTTGCTAAGAACGTTACTCCTCTCTACCTTCCACAGGGAAAACAAATCCCACTAATTATTACACTTCTCCTCCTCCTGGTTTTAATCTCTCTGCTCCTTGATAATACCTTATCCTTTAAAATCTGAGGTTTCCCATCTTGAGAAAAAAGAAGCTTTTTCCCCCCATATTTTCTAACACTCTCCAACAAGAATTTACTATTTTTACTTGCCACCTTAAGGAATTTGACAGGACTGCATGAACTTTCTTGTCACCTGCTCACTCTTTAAGACTGGCAATCACGTTTTTGTCCCGATGACCAGTTTCTGCTTCTGAGCTCTTTTCTTCTGCTGGCCTCTAAAGTGAGGTGTTCCACAACTTCCACCCTTGGCTCCTCTCTTTGCTTTTCTACAAGGACTCTCTCCTTGGCAGTCTCGTCCGCTCCTGAGGCTTCAACTGTAATGTCCTGATGCACGAGTCCTAAATCAGTACCTAGTGCTGCGTTTTCCAGCACTTACCAGGCATTGCCACAAATCTCACATACCCCTCACTCTACAAACGTTTATCTCCTTTTTCCCCAACCCACAAGCGGAACTTAATCCCAGCAACACATGAATCTTATCTTCTATCCGAATTCTCTATTTACATTCTTGGTAGAAACATCTCCCAGTCACAGGCTTAAAATTTACCCCCATCTTCTCTCCAGTCCCCCTGGGGTCCCGTATGGTCATATGGCCACAACTTACAACCCCCAATAATTTCTATCAACCTGTGTCTGGCATTCAAGGCTCTGGGGCCCTGGCTCCAACATATCCCTCAGTCTTATCACCTAGGATCTCCTAATACTTCAGCTCCAGACAAAGCGTTCGTCAGGGGCTTTTGTCAGAGCACTGACATATACCATTCCTCATAGCAGGGGGAGGCCCTTGCCCTGCCCTCAGACACACATCCCAGAATCTACTTCTGTGTTAGAGATGGTCATACCATGGACCCATTCAAACTGATGGCAAAGCCATGTAGAAACTGGATAAAATGTTTGTGAAATAGGGGCGCCTGGGTGGTTCAGTTGGTTGAGTGTCCAACTTCGGCTCAGGTCATGATCTCACGGTTCGTGAGTTCGAGCCCCGCATCAGGCAGACAGTGTGGAGCCTGCTTGGCATTCTCTCTCCCTCCCCGCCACCCCTCTCTCTCAAAATAAATGAATAAACTTAAAAAATGTTTGTGAGATAGCATTACATAAGAAAAGCAAATCTCACTGACAGTTTTGACAATTATTCATATAAAAAAATGTACAAGGGAATACATCCAAATGTCAAACAATGGTTATATCAGAGCAGTGGAATTGTGAATGAGTTTTTTCATTTTTCTACATTCTAAATTTTACTTAGTGTGGTTTTTAAAATAGATTTTTATTTTAGAATAGTTTTGGAATTACATATAACTTGAGAAGATGGTAAAGACAGGTCCTATATGCCCTACAATCAATTTCCTTTATTATTAACATTGCATGTTAGCATGATACTTTCATCACAGCTAAATAAACCAGTACTTTCACATGGTTTCTAAAACTTAAAGAAAAAAGAAAGAAGAAAGAAAGAAAGAAAGAAAGAAAGAAAGAAAGAAAGAAAGAAAGAAAGAAAGAAAGAAAAACTCTTTAGTTTGGTAAAACCAAATAACATAGAGGAAAATGTCATTCTTTCCATAACCTCGAACTCCAAGTTAGTATCCTGATATTTATTTTTATTATTACTTCAGCCTCCTCTTGGCATGAACATCGTTGGTTATAAACTGGAACAAATTTTGCTTTAACTATCATTTGCTGTATGTTTGTGCAGGTAGTTAAAGTAGTTGAAACTTTATTGTTTCATAAAGGTTCTGGGGAATGTTTTCTTGAACATAAAGTTCCATGGATATTTAAAAAAAATTTTTTTACATTTATTTATTTTTTGAGAGAGAGACAGAAAGAACGTGAGCAGAGGAGGGGCAGAAAGAGAGGGAGACACAGAATGGGAAGCAGGCTCCAGGCTCTAAGCTGTCAGCAAAGAGCCCAACACGGGGCTCGAACTCACGAGCCTTTGAGCCATGAGATCATGACCTGAGCCGAAGTCAGCCGCTCAACTGACTGAGCCACCCACGTGCCCCTCGTTCCATGGAAAATTTTAAACCCTGTGAAGCATCCCCACATCCAGAATCTAATGTTGTGTGCACGCTGCTTCTCCAGCAAGTCCGTAAGCCCTGCTGTGGTCTTCCCTTGTCCGTTCCCCTCCCACTTTTTCTTACACCCAAGAACACCCAGTCCAGATCTGGGCTCCAAGTGTATGCTCAGCAAATGCAACTTTTGATAAACTGAAGTAGTAGGACAGGATCTAGTAGATAGGGTATTGATTTTAAGTTCCTAAAATAAAGGATTCTTTATTACGAAATTTTGTCTGAGATGTCAGAGTTTGATCTTGCGTACCAGGACACTACAGTGTTTTCCCTCTGCGTCATTCAAAGGAGGCACTCTTGCTAGAGTGAGTTTTAGTCTTAAAATGATAAAAATCACGAACATATCAAGTGTTAAATATTCTAAAGAGCATATTTTCAGCTTGCCTTTAAAGTCTGAGCTCTAGAGGGGTGCCTGGGTGGCTCAGTCGGTTGAGTGTCCCACTACGGCTCAGGTCATGATCTTGCAGTCTGTGAGTTCGAGCCCCACGTCGGGCTCTGTGCTGACAGCTCAGAGCCTGGAGCCTGCTTCGGATTCTGTGTCTCCCTCTCTCTCTGCCCCTCCCCCGCTCGTGCTCTGTCTCTCTCTGTCTCTCTCAAAAAATGAATAAACATAAAAAAAAAATTCAAGTCTGAGCTCTAGAAAATGGACTGTGGGGGTTTTTGTTTGTTTTTTTTAAATGTTTCTCCCCTAGTGAGTTTCCATTGTTCTGTCTGCCAGGTTGGTTTCAAAGAATCCTTCTGGATATCTAGCAGTTAGAACAAATCCTATAGATTATGCAAAGAAATAACTAACTGAAGCAGCAAGGTAGTGTCCTACTTTTCACAGGAATAGAAGACATTCTCTTTTAAAACGGAACTGAAAAAAAAAACCTCAAATAGGTTTCTTCCCGTTTTATTTGTTGATAAATCTATTTTTCATCTTTTTTAAAATTTTTTTAATTTTTATTTTTTCATCTTTTAGTATTGTCTTTACTTCAAACAGCCAGATCTATGACACTAAAATTAAAAAAAAAAAAATTATTGAACAGCGTCCTAAGGTATATTCGGTACCTAATCTTAACTGGTTTTGGAAAATCCCTAAAATCAAGCTAAACAAACAACATTCTTGTATCTTCATGGGAGTCTGTATCATGTTACAAAACGTGTGAGGAGCAAAACTTTGCCAAACAAATTAAGGAGTGCGAGAAAAGAAAATTTCATAGTTTGGGTTTACTAAAGTTGTTTAAAGGCAGTCAGTGCCAAAATCAATCCTTAGATTGTAATTCCAAGGAAACTGCTGAGGATTAATTAATAAGAATGTGAGGGGCGCCTGGGTGGCTCAGTCGGTTAAGTGTCCGACTTCAGCTCAGGTCGTGATCTCACAGTTCATGAGTTTGAGTCTGGCATAGCCCTCTGTGTTGATAGCTCAGAGCCTGGAGCCTGCTTCGATTCTGTCTCCCTCTCTCTCCCCCCCCCCCCCCCCACTCTGTCTCTTTCTCTCCTTCAAAAATAAACATTTAAAAAGTACAAAAAAATAAATAAGTATATGATATTCACAGTGGGTGACTGAAAAGCCCCAAACCAGAGTTAAAAGCAGCGTCACTGACAACTTTCAAGAGAGATGTATACAATTAAAATTGACTGTTTTATCAACTACCGTGTAACTTTGCTTTATTGCAAAAGTGATTTGACTCTCCAGGAGTATCACTATTAATAAGTTATGACAGACTGATGTTTGACAAGCAAGCCTAAACAAAACCTCCAATTTGTCTTGCTAAAAATTAACTTGGTGTTATGGAACGGGCAGGACCGAACCAGTCCATCGTGAGGCAAGACAGGCTTTTTGAGACATTTGACACTCTAAATATAGTTCAGCAGATGTGAAGCATTATGCAATTTGGCTAATAAGCTCCGAGCGAGTGGAAAGAAATGGACTGAACAGTACCAGAAGTGACTGAAACACACGGTGACCCAATGAAGCTTCTGGAAGGAGGTACCTCAAAAGGTGAACAATGGGATGACAGGCAATTCTCAATTTTGGGGGTACATTTTTGTCCTATTTGGAGTTTAAAAGAACATTCTTTTACAATCAGAAAACAACACATGGATTTGCTTTTTGGAAAAAGACAATAAAAATGATGTGAAGTTTGACTTCTCATATCTGAGAAAAGTTTTATAAAAGCATTACAAAAATGGCATATGACTATCCAGTTTTGTTGCGGCTTAATAAACATTGATGGTCTGTGTTTAGCGTATAGATACACATTCATTTCAAAGGACGGATTAAAGGTACCATAGTCACTGAGAGCAACAGACGTTTTGTCAATATCCCATACAACTGGGATGCTTCAAGATCATTTCCAGACTTATTTTATTACCTAGAAATCCTCTTCCTTATTTTCAAAGCTCTGGGAGAGAATCTCTAAGACCTTCCAGTTGGATTAGCAGGTACCTAAGGGTGAAAATAGAACCAAAATGATTCTTACCTCATGTGGCGCATCAGAATTTGTTGGGCCGTTCAAAGTAATTGGATCACATTCCTCAGCTGGGGGGGGAAAAGAGACAAAGCTTGATAAAGAAAGGGCACGCTCTGCCGTGTGAGGCCTGCGATTGGGACTCAGTGCTATGTGCTGCTTTGACATTTGGTAAAATCGGGAGGACCTCGGTTCTCCTGCCCTCTCTGCTTCTAGGCATAAGGCCCCAGGCTCCCCGCCGCTGCCTGCGAGGGCACCAGGTGAGGGCACCAGGCACGGTTCCTACTTAACCCTGAGTACTGAGTTTCAGTTCCCCGCCAGCCCACTGAATTACTCAGACGAGCCGTCCCTGGGGACCCAGGGACGCTACCTCCTCTTGCCACTACTACCCTTACCACCTACAGCTGCTGGTGGCTGGTGCCCTCTGTTCCCGTGGGCAGCCTCATGGGATGTGACCCTGCGTGGCTTGAGGTGTCCCCCTCCCCCAGGCTGTGAGCACAAGTGACTCATGTCAACCTCATCTGTCCAGTGTCAGGCATGTAACCCCTGGGCAGGATCCCTCCCGCACTGCTGGGGTGAACAGGAGGGGATCAAAGCAGCTGGCCTCGTGAATTGCATGGCCCAACCGCTATGGAAGACACTTTGTCAGATGTAACTAACTTCCCCGCCACAGTTTAGGCTGCCTGGGGCTGGCCGACTTGCACTCTGGCCTACGCAGCACTGCGTGTCGTCTTTGTTCGGTGTTTATCCTCTCCTCCCACCTAAAATGTCCCTGTCCCCAAGGTGAAAACTGTTATTGACTATGCCCCAGTGTGATGTGCTGTTGGGTTCGACTGATGTCTGGTGGGTCAGCTCTGAGCATCCCATCCATAAGCCAGTGAGCCTGGGCCCCGCGCAGCCGCTTACAGCAGCCAAAGGACCGATCCTGCAGTCATGGGCCCGCTGGTCCATACCAGACCCATAAGCAATATGACCTTCCTGGAGGTGGACGCAACCCCAAGCAGGTTGACTGGCATTTCCTGGAGAAAGAGATGGCTCCCTACGAGGTGGGCCGTCAGCCTCCCAAGCCTCTCCCCGTCAACACTCAGAAAGTCTGCACCATGAACGATCAGAGACAGAAAGTGAGTGCTGACCCTTTATACAGGTAGAAGTAGAAATACTCCCAGGGAATCTGGGAGAAAGCCCCAAAAAACAAAGAAAAGGCAGGGCCATAGCAGAGCTCAGTTCCAGCCCATTGCCTGCAGGGCTGCTCGGCCACCTCTGCCTGGCTGCAAGGAACATCCTGATCCTCGGAGTTATCGGGGAAACCCGTGGTACCCCTGGGGCACGGCACAGGGTTAGTTCGACCCTGACGCAAGCCCGGGGTCGTGAAACATATGAAAGCAACCGCTGCCCAGGGAAGGCCCCAACCCCGTGGTACTGATTTGAGGCTCTGTGGAGGCGGAAATGCAGAAATACGAGCGGGGTGGAGGATTCCCCCACCTACCTACACCCAGAGTTTATCCAGTGACGCAAAAAAGAAAAGGGGACGGGAAATGAAAGAAAGAAACTGGACACCGGGGAGGAGATGAAAGGAAAAAAAGGACTGTAAGCAGAGGTCCACAGTTTGACCCAAGGGGAAATCCAACATTTACTGAAATAATTTACATAGCAAACCAGTAAACGAGTGCTGGATACCCCTGTGCCTGACAACGTCGGTTCTGAATCAGCTTTAGTACCTGCTGAAATGCACCAACCGGCAAACCCTCAGGGACTTAATCAGTCCCGGGGCTCCAATTACAGTTACACCTGGAGATGCCACTAAATGTAAACACGAGGTCCCCACGTAACCCTAGAGAGTTCTGGAACGTGAAACAGAAGACAAATAGGCATGATTCATCCTAACCAAAAGAACTATTGTTTTGCCTCATTTTCCCATGGTCACAGCACCCAATGCCTTAGATTATCCCATGTGGGCATGGCGGCTCTGACTCAACAATTACTATTAAATTAAATCTTTACAGTTAGAAGTTGATTTGAACGAAATGGGACCCTACAGACCTCTCAGTGCAAGCACCTAATACGGCCCGATGTAAATTAAACAGGACCTTCAAAGATCAAAACTTACTATGTAAGACCTGATTTGAGTGAAGGGTGGATTAACTGCTGCCTCTCCAATTAACAGCTGAATTTGGCCTGTTCTTAAACCCGAAAGGCAATGAACAGTGTCTCACAGGACATTACTGCGGCCTTAATGTGGTGGCCCCATCCATTAAGGCACCAGACCCAATGCCCAGTATTTTTTAAATTACTGACTCTATCCCATCAGCCACTAATAAATATCTGGCTACTACCAATTGGGCTAATATGTTCTGCTCAGTGTCTATTTGAGCAACCTCTCAGGTGCCATGTGCCTTCATCACCAAAGGCAGTCGTACATGGTGACCGGGCTCCGTATGGGGGACCTAACAGCGTTGCCCTAGCACATGGTCTTTGCAGGCAAGATCTTAACTGCACCCAACCTTCTCCAGGATCGTGGGTATGCCAACATGGATGACATCCTCCTCCAAGGATATCCATTTGACATTCATCCAAGCCATACAACATCCATAAAAGAGCTCACAGAAAGGGAACAGGACACTGACCCCCACACAGCGTGCGGCCCTACCACCTTGGTTAAATTCCTGAGAATCTGTTGGCAAGTTAAGGGCTGCTCCATCTCTGACATGGTCAATAAAGAGTTAAAAAAAATAGGGGCGCCTGGGTGGCTCAGTCTGTTGAGTGTCTGACTTCAGCTCATGTCATGATCTCACGGTTCATGAGCTCGAGCCCTATGTCCGGCTTTGTGCAGACAGCTCAGAGCCTGGAGTTGCTGCAGACTCTGTGTCTCCCTCTCTCTGCTCCTACCTCATTCATGCTCTGTCTCTGTCTCTCAAAAATAAATAAATGCTAAAGAAAAACTTTTTTAAGTGTTACGAAAATTAAAAAAAAAAACAAAAACAAAACATTAAGGGACACCTGGGTGGCTCAGCTGGTTGAACCTCTGACTCTTGATTTTGGCTCAGGTCATGGTCCTAGGGTCATAGGATCTAGCCCTTCGTCAGGCTCTGTGCTGAGTGTGGAGCCTGCTTGGGACACTCTCATTCTTTCCCTCTCGCCACCCCGCCCATCCCCTGCTCGTGCTCTCTCTCTCTGAAATAAAATAAAAAATAAAAAACAAAGAGTTATGGACCCTCTCAGTACTTACTACAAGTTAATACAAGTCCAACATCTTCTAGTTTGGGGGGAGTTCTGGAGGCAATGTATTCCTCATTTCCATAGTTTATTTGTTCTCACTGACACGCTTACTTGTAAAGTGCTTCACTGTAAATCTTGCTCCCTCTAACAAAAGCCTACAACACGCATTCTCTGAGACCCCTTCACCATAAGGGTTTAAACAACCTCCTCATATTCTTCCTGAAGTCTCTGGACCACCCATGACTGCCACATGCTGTCTACGTGCTTCTGATGCATGAAACTGCCCTGCTAGACCCTTCTCTCCATACACCACTAGGGCAGCGACTGCTGGCTGCACACTGGGCTCTTCTGGAAACAGAGGCTCTCACTGACCCCGCACCTGTGAGCCTTCATACCCTGCTGCCTATTATGCCTTGAGTCACAGAAGCAGCTCCGTACAAGCTCGACATGGCTGCTGAGACTTTACTGCTACTGAGTGGAGACAAACGTGGGCCTTCTGGCATGTTCTACCCACAGGAGGGCATGGTCTCCACTATCCTCAGGCTCTTGCCAGATGCCATGGTGCTGGAAGAAGTCACCCTTCTGACATTCCTGGTTACCTGGGGAGCCCCTTCAGATCAACTGAGCGAACAACAGTGGGAATTTGTAGATTTTACAGGTGATATCACCACCATCATACGTGATGGAGTTCATGGATAGTTATGCTTTCTAGCCCTCAGTCAACACGTCCCTGATAAAAGACTGCCAAACTTCAGGTGGTCATCTTAGTGCTGGATGCCCTGGCCAACAAGTGGCCCCATCGGCACTTTTTTTTTTAAATACAAACTCTTGGACCACCGCCCAAGACTTGCCCACTCTGGGACAGAACTCTGGGAATCTCTTGCCTCACATATGAAGAGAATGTAAATCAAGGTAACAGATATCTCTGCACATAGTAAGGCCACAATGTAAGGCCTCACTAGAATATTCTCTATCCCCTTTGGAGTTCCAGACGTTACTGCTAGTGACCAAGACATTCATTTCACTTCTCAGAACACAATGCCCGGCTCTAAAAGAAGCCACTCAACCGAATTTCCATCTACTCTCTAGGCAACAGGTTAAATCGAAAGGGAGGGTGAGCTCCTCACAGAATTCCTATTTTATAGAACAAATAGAGCTCTTGCCTTGGGTCACTATTGCCACAGGCATTGGTTATCTCAAAAAAAAATTTTTTTTAAATATTCATTTATTTTTGAGAGAGAGACAGAGACCAAGTGGGGAAGGGACAGAGAGGGAGGGAGACACAGAATCCGAAGCAGCTCCAGGCTCTGAGCTGTCAGCACAGAGCCTGACGCGGGGCTCGAACCCACGAATTGCGAGATCGTGACCTGAGCCGAAGTCGGACGCTTAACCGACTGTGCCACCCAGGCGCCCCGGCATTGGTTATCTAAATTCATGCCCTCACTATACCAGTGCCATACCACATGGCCCACCCTCTCCTGGTCCAGTGTCTGGTGTGCTTTTTAGGGAGGCCCTTCCCTACCCTCTAAGTCCCAATCATCACTAAGTTTTAAATCGAAGTCAAGGTTATCACGGAGTCAATTGTGGTATAAGATCTAAGACGAAGACTCAATACTAGCACTGCCTTGACATCTGGTAAAAATCAGGAGGGCCTCGAATGGCCGAGGTGCAAAGCTTTCCGCACGCTGCCCCGTGATCGGCCCCTGAGCCGAGCACCAGGCACGGTTCCTACTTACCCCTGAGTACGGAGTTTCAGTTCCCCGCCAGCCCGCTGAATTACTCAGATGAGCCGATCACATCCTCCCTGGGGAACCAGGGACGCTACCTCCTCTCGCTACTACCACCCTTACCACCT